AATATGCTGTAGAGTCGCACAGATCTGATCATTGATATGTGATGAGTTAGTTGATCTCAGCCGATGAGTGCTACCCTGGGGATCATTGTGGTTGGGCTTGGGAGGGAAAAGGAAATCAGCCTAACTTCCTTGCCTTGATCACAGTCCAAATTGCATGTGTGAGGATGTCAAAGATCAGAGGTAGCTATGATCACCCCATATTCTCTGTCTGGATTCGTACACGAGAGCTGCTAGTGCACAGGGAACAATACACCAGCGGTCACCACTTACAGGCCGAAAAGTGGATGGGTAAATGGAGAAAAAAATGGATCATTACCACAGCAATGTGTTTAAGAATAGGTTTATATCCAGAAATATACTGAGGGTTTATATGTACATATGAGTGTGTCAAAGAGTGGGTGTGCGTGTGTATGTGTCGTAGAAAGTAAGGTACATGTGCTCATATGTGTTTTAATGTGTCACGGGAAGTAAGATAAGTGGGTTGAAAGTTATCTGTATACATGCGTGTCTGATTAAACACGTTTGTATGTGGGTGTACATGTGGCTGTATACAAACACATAAGTACGTGTCAGTGTATATATATATATACACACATACGTGTACGTGTCTGTGTATATACATGTATACGTGTGTACATCTGTGTATATACATATACAGGCGTATGTGGGTATCTGTTCATTGTGGGCAACAAGGTAGCGAGGGTTGTCTAAGGCAATTCAAGTTGGCAGCTAGAGCGATGACTCAGGCACTAAATATAGGCAGACAAACACAGACGTACATGCAGACAGAAGCAGTCACCACAGGGCAATCTGTCACACGCACCATGCACAATTGCATCATTGTACAATCGTGCCTATCGAAACCTACTGCTGATAAGAACTCACTGTCTCCTAGTGAAACAAGTTCAATGCTCCCAATCCATTATCACCCTCTGCCTGCTTCTCTACAACACAGAGGTTCCTAGTGGAGGAAAGAATATTTTAAAAATCAAACAGTGCCTTTTTTAAAAAAAAATCTTTTTAGGGAAGGGAAGTTTCTCAAAATACAGAATGTTAATGTTGGGAATCAGAATTTGTTAGCTCTGAAGTCTAAGTTAATTCAAGTTTTTCTTTTGCAGTTGAGGCTGAATTCAGCAATTTACCAAATTACAATAATAATCCTTGTATTTGCTATAGCTCCTTATTACATTGTCAAGACGTCTCAAAGCGCTTCACTGGATATACTGTACAGTGCAGTGACTGTGTATTTTGAGGGTGAAACGTTTACTTTCCAACTGATGGGCACTCACTCCAAGTCTGGATACAACATTACCGGGTCAGGATTAGTGTGGTCAGAAACTCCCTCTATTCTGCCCTCAACGATGTGGTTTGTCATCCTCCATGGCTAAACATTGCTGGAGAGTTTCCTCACCAATTTAAAAGAGAAACAAGAATGATCCTCAGTGTCAGAGGGTTGAGCTACGAGCAACAATTAGACAAGCTGGGGCTCTTCAGTCTTGAGTGAAGACATCTCATATATGACCTTAATGAAGTATATCAATTTTAAATGGGATTCAAAAAGTAAACCCAGATCAATACTTTAAGAAGCACCAATAAAATAATAACAGTAATCCTTGCATTTGATATCGGGCCTTATCACGCCGTTGAGACGGCTCAAAGCGTTTCACAGGATATACCGCAAAGTGGATCGACTGTGTCGCTCGCATTGTTGGAGGTGCTGTCTTTCAGTTGAGACTGAGCTCCCTATCAGCCTGGTTTGAAAAATCCCATGGCCCCCATTCAAAAAGAGAGAGGAGTTTCTCCCAGGGTCCTGGCAAAGAATCCCACAAATAAAACTGGTCACTCACTCCATGACCGTTTTGAGACATGGTGGCAATTGCCTGTTGTGTTTGCTTACAAATTACACCGTTGCAAAACCTTATAATAAACAGTGTGAAGTGCTTTGGGACGCTGCTATGCCAAATGCAATGGTTATTTTTTATTAAGCAAGGCTTGTGGCAGCCAGCGAGAAGGCCACTGGAAACCAGCAGCCAAGCGGGGTTGGCCTCAAACACATCCAAGTACTTGCAGGATTCGTTATTTGTTAATCCAGCCAACTCGACCCCAGAATGCACTGTACACTGACTTAGTCGAATGGAACAAGAATAACAGTGGAAAGCTGCTAATGCACCGATTGTTAAATGTGACGAATCTTTCATTGCAGTGCCGAAGCCCTTATCAGAAACTCAGTGAAGGGTTGCCACCCTTAGTGAGCAATACATTACAGGCCCTATAGTGTCAGGTCACATCAGGCGGGATCATCCTGGTATCAATGACACATACGCTGCAGCCTACACCGCCTCCACGAGGTGGTACCACACTCGCTGGTCTGCTTCATACAGAGAGTAGCACATGGCTGTCAGCTCATGCACAAAGTCTCAGTAGTTCAGCCAGAGGAGACTCGGCTTAGCGAAAATAAACCACCTCGCCTGACTCAACAGCAATTTACTTTTCCATCGATTATGTCGTCCTGAGCCGCCTTAAAAAAAAATGTTGGCTAATTTTACAACTTTATTCTACATTGTTTTAATGCTGAAAAACAGCGTATCCATTCTGTGACGATTTACCCAAGGCCACTATTTGCTCTGTAACAGACATTCACATATCCCGCCCATTTATCCCCCCCCCCCACACCCACTCTGCTGGGTGGTACGACACAGTTCCACAGTCCCTCCACCAGTCCCCAATGGGCGAGTGAGCAGAAGCACAGAAACCACCCCGAGCAGTACGTTTTGCACTAATCGGGGGGGTGGGGGGTTGGGGGGAAGCAAAAAGAAATTTAGAAAGGTGTCTTGATTGTCCGCTGCTTTGGTTTCTGATAGGAGAACATCGCCCCCTTTACATTACTCTCACTTCTGTTGCTAGTGCAAATTGAATGCTATTTGCCTACACAACAACGCATTCAACGCATTTCCTTTTAAGATGAGACGTCTTGATGTGAAAAGCTGCTATATTCAATGCAAGTGTTATTTTTCTATTGCCTGATCATTATCGCTTTTCCGAGTGAGGCGAGTTCAACTAGGTACCGTCTGCCTTGGGAATCAGGCTGGAAGACACTATTTCATAGCGGAGGGAATGTCAACCCCATTTATTGACAGATTATCTCACTGCTATTTGTGAGACATTGCCTGGCAGATGAGTTGTTCATACATAACATAATCCCAGTATTTGCATTTTTTTTGTATAGAACTTTTCACCTCAGGAGGATGTCTCAAAGTGCTTCACAGGATATACTGTAAGTGTAGCGACTGTGTATTTGTGAAAAAGCGCAGCAGCCCCATTTACACACAGCGATGTCCTACAAACAACCATAACGTGATGACCAAATTTTACCTGAGGGATTGTTGGTCAGGGCACCGGGAGAAACTTCGGCCTTTCTGCCCCCACCCTTTGGAACTCCATCCCACAATCCCTTCGCCTCGCCCACTTCCTTGCCTTCTTCAAGGCACATCTCAAGACCCTCCACTTTGACCACGCCTTCGATCACCCTCCTACTCTCCACCCTCCCTGATCCCAAACCCCACCCCCTCGCTCAGGTCCAAATCCCTGGGATGTCCTCCTGACTTGAAAGGCGCTATACAAATGTAATTTTGAATTGTATTGTACAATTTGCCTCAGTATCCCTGAGCTCCAGAGCGGAAAAATAGTCAGATCGTGTGCTGGCTCTCACCAAGATAGCATATGAAGAATGTAACTGAGGAAGTTAGCGGTGAACCAGGGAGCTGAACCCAAGCCAAGTCAGTGTCTTGAGGTGAGAAAGGAGGCACAATGAGTACGAAAATACAATATCTTATACCTTAGGTACCCGCCCGGATCTGGCACTCTATATGTATGATAAATGATTCCAAAATTAGTTAAAATTACCAGACAGTGATGTGGTGATGAAAACGTGTCAAACCACAAGGCTAACGCCACTATCTAACCGAAACAAACCTAGCCTTGTGTTTATAATTTTTTTTTAAGTCATCCTCGTGTCTAAACACATCACCGTGTTTAAGAGTATCCCAATCAAGCTGTGAATTCCACGCATCCCAACCACACATGGAAATTCCAGAGGTAGATCGTTGCAATGGAATGTTGAAGGCTTTACAACAACAACAACAAAATTACACTTATAGTGAGTCGTTCACGTCAGGAGGACATCTCAAATCACGTCGCAGGATTTACTGTGACATTTAGTGACTGTGTACAAGTGCTGACATACTCAACGTATGTCACTCCTATTAGAAGATAGTTAACACGAGGGGTTTTATGGCTTTGTTTTACATGAAAAAGAAACCAGTTTCACACAGCCCGCAGAAAGGTAATAAAAATCCTGGAATAAGTCATTGCTTGTTCACCCACAAAGGACTAAACACTGGCCTGGCGTCCAGTATCAGTCTCCTCTAGATACCAACCATCTCTGACTGGCATACTACCAATACACTTAATTGCGGGATAAGATTATTTATGTTGACTATGATCGTTATCGGGAGGCGGCCAGCATATTAACAGGCCTGCGTGGAGCCGATTTCTATCATCACATGACTGGTGCTAACCCACATCTGTCTATGATATACTGGAGGATTCAATTACACAAGATACAAATCTTTTGGTGAAGTGACATTTACATAAAGCGATTTGTAACTGCTTTGACTTGCAAACAAAAGCAAAGATTGTCAAACCAATAGACATGACCTTTAACAGTGAAACTGTGCAGTCTCTATTTATTTTGTTAGTTCTAAGTGCTGCTCGTGATATAAATATTATATATATTGTGACAAACCTCTTCCCAATTTGCATTAAAGTTCCGATGGTCAAAACTCCTACCATTCACACCTGTTGAATTGCGTGCGTCAGGACCTTTGAGCTCACATCGAACACTCCAGTCAGTGCAGTACTGGGGGAGCAGCTGCACTGTCCGAGATGCTGTCCTTTCAATGAGACATTAAACCAAGGATTGCTGGTGGAGAGAAACCTACCCTCTCCATGCAGGAGCTGTGAAACTGGTCCCCGATCTGCTGCAGCTTCCGGCCAATCCCGACCTCCACTCTGTCCTCAGGCTGCAGCTCCATTGGCATTCCATCCCCTCGGCCTTGATGGGGGAGGCCACTGGACCGTGGCACTTCAAACACCTCCGGAGAACCCAGCCGATATCCTGCATTCCCTGAGGAAAAGAAAACAAATTGGTAACTGCAGCAGTTACAGGAAGGTTTTTTTTTGTCTGACACATGAGGAAACCCATCGCCATGCTTAAGAGGCTTCAAACCAAACTGAGAATTCCATACATCCCACCTAAACATGGAAATTCCAGAGACAGGTTGTTGGTATGGAATCTCTCCCCTGAGGGAGGTATCCTGTTTACCTATTTCCGGAGAGTATTAGGTGCAGGTTGACAAAAGCCAAGGCACTCTCTGCAAACTCTTACAAGGAAGATACGATCCTACAGGAGGGTCTGATCGTCCCTTTTTAATGATGGATTAGAGAAATAAGTCTCCAATTAGAGAAATAACTAGATAGTCTGTGTGTGTGTGTGTGTATGTACACATCAAATAAGGACAGGAGTTAGAGGATGTCAGATTAGGACAGAACTGGGTTTGGGTTCAATGCCCCACCCCCTCCATGGGAGGATATAATAATAGTAATCCATGCATTCAATATAGAGCCTTATTACGTCACTGAGACGTCCCAAAGCGCTTCACAGAATATATTGTAAAGTGAATTGACAGCAATGTCCCACAAACAGCTATGGGTTGAGTGACCACTTTTTTTTGTTGAGAAATTATTACCCCTGGAAAGCGATCTGCCAATCAACTAACTGAGTTCCTACTTACTAGGTAAGCAGAGGTGCATGGAGTAAGGAAACTTGCCAAAGGATTCGAACAACCCGGTAATCGAACCCAGGCCCTCTCGCTTGCGAGGCGAGCGTGCTAACCACTATGTCCATGTGACCAGTTGGGGTGAGGGGCTGAAGGAGAGAGTAATGGTGAAAATTGCTCCCCCACCAAAAAAACATCACAACTAATGAATAAGAATTTAAAGGGCCTGAGAAAAACTTTCAGGGTTAATTCGAAAGTGGCTGTGCAGGAACTGGAGTCAGGAATATGATCAGGACGCGAGCACATCCCTCTCCACAGCTCTCAGTACATGACACAACAGCCAAGTTTGTTGCATCAGCTATACTTGTTCGAGTGATCAACCCCCTTCATGGGAAGTGTCCTGGAAAGCTGAGCTAGCCACAAGCCAAGCTGGAGTGGGAGGGAGGAGGGTGACAAGGCAGCATTGGATTGGGCAGTCAGGTCTGAGCATAACTGGTTGTAAGTAACAGTGGAGTCCCATAGCTTAGTGGTTAGCACTCTCACCTCGCAAGTGAGAGGACCTGGGTTCGATTCCCAGGCGGGACAAAACCTAAGGCAAGTTTCCTTACGCCACACACTTGCCTCTGTTTACCTAGCAGCAAATAGGAAGCCAGTTGTTAGTCGACTGGTGGATTGCTTTCCGAGGGTAATTATTCCTCCAATTCATGATTGTTTGTGGGACACTGCTGTGCGCAATTGGCTGCCGAGATTCGCCCACAAAATACACAATCAATCTACTATATCCTATACAGTATACCCTGTAAATCGCTTTGAGACATCTCAACAATGTGATCAGGGGCTTTATCAAATGCAAGGATACCTATTATGCAAATAAAGATTGGAATTTTAAATCCAGACTGTAAACTTCTGAGTCGTATTGGAGAATCGGAGATTTTGCGTGAAGGCCAAGCACGTAAATAGTCGTTGAAGGATCCAGAGAATTGTTTTTTTTAAAGAAGAAGCATCAACTGTGTAAAAATACGTTTGACAAACAAAATCAGAAGAGCTGGATCAATTGAAATTTTCAAGACTGAGTTGAATAGATTGTTCGGTAAGGGTGTTAAACGATATGGGGCAAATGTGGTTGAATGGAGTTGAGGTACAGATCGGATTGAATGACGGAAGTGGCTCGAAGGGCTGAATGATCTATTCCTTTCCCAATTTTTCTAGATAATCATTATAATCCTTGCATTTGACCAAGCGTTTTATCACATCACTGAGATGTCTCAAAGAACTTCACAGAATATACTGTAAAGTGAATTGACTGTATGTTTTTGTGGGCGAAACGCAGCAGCCAATTATGCATAGATATGTCCCACAGTCGTCGTGGACTGAGTGCCAAATTTTCTTTTTGAGAGATTATAACCCCCCGGAAAGTGATCCCCCAACCGACTAACAACCGGGTTCTTGCTTACTTCTAAGTAAACAAGAGATGTGTGGAGTAAGGAAACTTGTCTAAGGTCCTGCCTCGCCCAGGAATCAAACCCGGGTCCTTTTACTTGCAGGTGAGCCTGATAACTGCTACACTGTGGAACTTCACGGTTGATTTTTAACCTGCACTGCATCCCTGCACAACCCAAGGTGAGATAAAATAGCACAGAACCTAATTACCATAAAACAGTCTTCGAGGGTGTGCTCCAACTCCGCCTGGTAAGCTGGGCTCTGCGAGGTCTGACCCGGGGATAGAGGTGGGGGTCTGGGTGGCCTTGTCACACTGCACCTGCCGACCGCATCCGGGGCCGCAGAAGTGGACCGAGTTTATCGGAGAGCGCAGCCGCGAGCGTGTGGCACGCCACGTCAGAGACTCGTGGGTGCCAGAGGTGTTGTCGCTGTAGCCGCTGTCGGGGGCCGTCAGGTCCTGGGCAAAGACTTCGTCGTCACTGTCCAGCTCTTCAGTGTCAGACAGATCCATGGCATCAGTCCGCTTTTGCCGCTTCGACTTTTTCTTTGTACCTTTTACGGCCAAGGAGCTTTGGTCGAGGGTTCCTGAAGGGAAATAAATAATAAACCTCAGAAAATTCATAATATAAACATAACCTGCGCATTTGTTATCACACCTTATCACATCGTTGAGACGTCTCAAAGCTCTTTCCCAGAATATATTGTAAAGTGAATTGACTGTGTATTTTGTGGGTGAAACCTGGCAGCCAATTGCACACAGCAGCGTCCCAAAGACAGGCGTGGATTGAGTGACGCTTTTCTTTGAAGGGTTATTACCCCCGGAAATGATCCGTCCATCGACTAACAACCGGGTTCCTACTTGCTGCTAGGTAAACAGAGCCATGTGGAGTAAGGAATCTTGCCTAAGGTTTCGTCCTGCCCGGGAATAGGTCCTGGATCCTCTGCCTTGCGAGGTGAGCGCACTAACCACCTCCACAAAGCATCTCTTTATAAACTAATTTCTCCCCTCGCCTCCTGAAGCTGTGGTACAGTTTCATGACCCGCTTGAAATGCACAAAGGAAGCAAAAACAGAAGGTACACATACTCCGGGCAGACAGTACCTATCGAGAAGGAAGCTGAAAGAAACCCAATGATATTAAGCTCACCGTTTCTAAACAGTGCGAGGCACCAATAAAGAAGGCAAACAGGAAGCTACATTGCCACATCAGTTGGCTTCAGATCTCTAGAAGTCGTGCTCAAGTTGCACAGTTAAGCTACACCTGGAAGTTATTGTATGGTCGCCAGGCCCCAGAGGCAAGTACAGAGGAGAGCGACGAGGCTGGTCGCCAGTGTTAGAGGCATGAGCTGTGAGGAACCACTAAATAAGCAAGGGCTTGAACGGAGATAACAAGAGGTAACTGTATAGATGTATTTAAGATGCAAAATGGAATAATAATAAAACTTGCATTTGATATGGTGCTTTATCAATTCATTGAGACGTCTCAGAGTGCTTCACAGAATATATTGTGAAGAGGATGGACTGTGTATTTCGTGGGCAAAACGTGGCAGCCAATTGCGCACAGCAGTATCCCACGAACAGTCGTATATTGAGTGACCGATTTTTTTCTTTTTGGAGAGATTATTACCCTTGGAAAGCGATCTGCCAATCGAATAACAACAACAACAAAATTACATTTGTAGAGCCCCTTTCACGTCGGGAGGACATCTTCCAACTTCTTGCTAGGTAAAAGAGGCGTGTGGAGTAAGGAAACCTGCCTAAGTTTTCATCAGAAATTGAAGCCAGATCCTTTTGCTTGCGAGGCGAGCGCTCTAACCTCTACCCTATGGGACTCTATGAACTGAAAGAAATTTAGAATAATACTCCAGGTTTGCCATCAGGATGAGGGTTACTGCATCACAGTTCTGAAGGGCAGATTTAGGACAGGTACCAAAGAGTTTTAGTTTAAACATGTCACGTAATGTTACGTATGTCACGTAAACCTGTGACACTTCAATTACAATGAGATCTTGAGTTGGAGCCAGATTTTCTGTACGAGACGTGCTTTGTGTCTTGAGGGTTTTTCAGTGAAGGCGTTGTTCATTCACACAGCTGTTTCCCCCACAAATCCTTTTACAACCTCATTGACTCTCTTCCCCCCTCCCACACATAATTGCATACACACCCACAACCTCCTTTTTCCTTCCCCCACCCCCCCAAAAAAAAAATTAAACAATGACTTTGGTTTGTTTAAACAGATTTTCAATACAGAAGGAAGCCCATTGTGTCTGTGCTAAATGTCTTCAGTAAATCGATGACTTGCAAACTCGACCGTGTGCAGAGTATATAACAGCTGGCCTTTTCTAAACACCTTCATCCTGCTGCCGCTCTGCCTCACACATTGCTGCTCACATACATGAATTCAAGACGTGTACATGAAGGCCAGGACATCTGTCACAGGGTAGAACGCCTGCCAGTGGCCTTACTCATTTCCTAGTGACATCATGGCCTTTGCTGAGAATGCAGGCTGTTTACAGTCACAGGTGCGGCTGAATAACTGAGACGCACAGAACACCACCACGATAAACAGCAATACCCAGAAATGACCACAAATGTAGATACACAGACACGCAAATACAGACACAGAGAAATAAACAACACATTGCATTTATATAGCTCCCATCACGAGATCGTCCAAAGATGCTGGACAGTCAAGGACTTGCATCCCAGCCGGGGGTTGGAATCAAGAAGGGTGGAGGGTAGGGGGTGTAGTGGGAAGGTGACCAAAGGCATGGTCAAAGAGGAAGATCTTGAGACAAGCCTTGAAGGAGGGAAGGGAAATGGCGAGGTGGAGTGGCTCTGGGAAGAAGTTAAAGAGGGTGGGAATAGAAAGGCTGAAGGACCAACTGCCGAAGGGACATGGAGCAGTGTCAGTGGCTGCCAAGCAGAGGTCAGTAAGGTAAAATATATAGAAACGGATGCAGAGAAATACACAGAGACGGACACAAATATATCACAACTGAAAAATACAGAGAGACATACAAATATGTATACAGAAAGACAAATGCACACTACAGAGAAATACTCAGACTCTCTCTGTACAAAAATACCACGTGGACATCCATTAACTATTCGGGGTCAGATTGGCTGAGATGGTAGCTCTCTCACTTCTATTCCACGCCTCGGCTTGGTTTACACCGACACTCTAATGCAGTCCTGGAGGGAGCACTGCACTGTCAGAGGTTCTGTATTTCAGATGAGATATTAAGCCGAGGTCCCAACTGTCTGTTCAGCCTAAACATGACATTACTTGAAAAGAGAAGGGTTTCTCTCCGTGTCCTGGCCAATAATCTTTTCACCTCATGGCATAGGGGTCTTGCTGTGTGAAAAACGGTTGCTGCGTTCCTACAAAAACATCACTACACTTGACACCCCATGTGAAGTGCTTTAAGGCATGAATGATAAGGCACTACAAAATGCAAATTATTACTTTCTACTTTAAGAGAAATGAGCTGCTGTCCACATCCTGTAGAGTTTTGGTTAGAGCAAGCAAGAGGAACCAGTTTGATTCCCAGGCTTGGCAAAATCTTAGGCAAGTTTCCTTACTCCATACACCTCTATTTACCTAGCAGTAAGTAGGAACTCTGTTGTTAGTTCATTGGTGGAAGGCTTTCCGGGTGTAATAATCCCTCCAAAAGAATAAAAGAATTTGGACACTCAATCTACGACTGTTTGTGATACATTACTGTGCGCAATTGGCTGCCATGTTTCGCCCACAAAATATAGTCAATTCACTTTAAAGTATATTCTGTGACATACTTTGAGACGCCTTTTAGAGGTGATAAGGCGCTATATCAAAATATAAGAACTATTATTATTCAGATCTCAGCATGGACTCATCCAACTCCTTGCCAGGCATCTTGTCCCAGCTCTGCCAATGCTCCTCTTATTCAAATCAAACAACTGTGGCTGATGATTTTTAAGACTCATTTCCCTGATATTTACTTCAATATTTTCCCAAACATTTTGAAGCTATTGTTCTTAAACACAGAAGTAACACAAAAATATTCCAGAGTCTACAGCACACTCGTGTGGTCTAATTACTCTCTTGCACCAGCACCGCACCGCAGGAGCATTGGAAAACAGGAGCAGACATGTGTCAGCCTGGCTCAGTCAGCATCCCTCGTGCCTGGGATTCAGTCACGTCAGGACTTGGATCTCATATAGTTTAAGATGACACTTCACGGCTGGAGCTGTGCTGCATTGTTGAAGGCTGTCCTTTGGATGAGACTTTAAACCATCTGCCTGTTCAGGTGGATGTTAAAGATCCCACAGCACTTTGTGAAAAGAGCAATTTCTCTCCCGGTGTCCTGGCCAACAATCCCCCAAATAAAATCGTTCGCTTCATGGCTTGTACGTAGGATATTGCTTTGCACAAACTGGCTCCTGCACTCGCCCACAAAACACACACTGTACTTTACAGTATATCCTGCAAAGCACTTTGTGACGTCCTCTCCACGTGAAAGCACGCTACAAAATACAAGGATGATTATTCAGCCTGTCAAGACTGCTCCCCCATTTTATCAGATTACAACAGATCTTCCAATCCCCTTCCCTTCCCTCCATATTGCTTAAGAGTTCTCATTTCTTATGTACAGGTTGTCCACAATTTCAGTTATCCCCCCTCTCTCTCCAGTGCACTGACCCAACAACTAAAACATGTAAAAGAATGATGATAATTGTATTTAACAACAACTTGGATTTATATAGCGCCCTCCAGGCCGGATGGCGTCTCTATTTAGAAGTACTTCATTGTATTCAGTACAAGTGTTTAACTATATTTAGATGTCTAGAGGATCAGTGTGAGCGCCATCATTTTCATGGCACACAATGATCCATCGTCATGTTCGGTGTGATATCATGGTTGAAGTGACGAGGCAAAATGCATCTGACAAATTGTTTCAGTTCCTCCGTGGTACCATATCACTGTTTTGTAATGGGGTTAAGAGGACTTTGTTGACACACTGTACAGTATCCAAGTCTTTCCTGGATCAATGCTGGTGTGATAAGATGCGAACACTCTTGGCTGATCTGTGACTGGTCAGCGAATGAATCAGGACATGACTGAGACAGATCTGAGACAGGGTCAAACAGCTGCCCTCTCGCTGAGACCCAGTCTGGGTCCACAAACACAGTGTTCCGATACAGAATTCAATGCAGAAACAGTTTTAAAAATGTGGTCATATTTCTTTTTCCAAAGGGATTATGATTGCTAAACTGTTCATTTCCTATAATAATAATCCTAGCATTTGATATGTCGGTGAAATGTCTCAAAGCGCTTCAGAATATACTGTAAAGTGGATTGACGGTGTATGTGTGGGCGAAACGCAGCAGCCAATTGCACAAACCATCGTGGAATGTGTGAGCAAATTACTTTTTGGAGGGATTATTAGGGCCGGAAAGCGATCCACCAAGCGGTTAACAACCAGGTTCCTTACCTTACTGCTAGGTGAACAGAGAAGTGCGGAGTAAGGAAATTTGCCTAATGCTTCGAATCCAGGTCCTCTTGCTTGAGAGGCCAGAACACCGACCACATCGCCACAGGAC